ACAGGCGCCCGCCACCTCGCCCGGCTAATTTTTTGTATTTTTTAGTAGAGACGGGGTTTCACTGTGTTAGCCAGCATGGTCTCCATCTCCTGACCTCGTGATCCACCCATCTCGGCCTCCCAAAGTGCTGGGATTACAGGCATGAGCCACCGCGCCCGGCCGCCAATCTTAATTTTTGACCAATTTTCCATAGCATGCAGATAATTTGTTTCCAAAACTTTTCATTTTCCTGAAGTTGTCTTGATTGGTATCAGCTATTTCCATAAAATGATCGGATGAGTTTTGATGGACAGATCAGGCTTTTGTTTACAACTGTTTTGCTCCTAATAACTCCACCACATCACATGTCATAGACCCGAATTGTGTCAGGAAGACGGGCTTGTTCGTCAGGCCCTGGTGGGCACTTTGATAGCGGGCACGCTGCTCCATGACATGCATGGTGTTGGGTCTTGCTGGACAAACTGCGTTGTGTTCAGTGTGCAGAGCCTCTGCTAGGTGCTTTCATTTGGGGCACTGCGCCAGTGCTACTGGGAGCACCTCTGTTTTGTGTTGCTGACATCCAATAGCATCGTCATGTAGAGCAAACACTGAAGGTCTGCATTTCTTCGTGAGCTTATTCTCGAGAAAATTGGGGGCAGACCCCTCCTCAGGGAAGGGAGGGCCACCTTGGTTTCCAGAGTCAAGCATTGTGAAAATTACCCAACGCTCAGGCAATCCACCCAACCCCGCTGCCCATGCCTGGAGAAGCAAAGTATCAGGGGTAGTCCAGGCCCACCTGGAGCCAGGACAGGCCCTGCAGAGAAAAGTCTGACAGATGGTGGTGAGGGAAGACCCCCAAAGGCTTCTAGAGTCCCACCAGGCCCCCAGGTCCTTGTCATAACCAGAGAGGCCCCAGCCCCAGAGGAACAGGTCCCCTGCTCCACTGTCAACAGGGGCCCGCCTGCAAGGACACCGGCAGAGCTCAAGACCGCACATGCCTGCAAGGTGAGGCCTGCCCGGGCTCTGTCCTCCTGCAGGCCCCAGGGCTGGGTGACTGGGCGAAGGCAGCTGCTTGTGCAGAGCCCGGGGGAAGCTGCCTCTCATCTCTGGTCGTCCTCAGGACGCTGGATCCCACCAGCATCTCACCAACCTGGAGAGTCCCCCAACCCCTCATTTCACGTTTGAACATAGAGAACCAGAGGGGTGTGGCTTGTCTAGGAGGTCTTAGGAGCTTGGGTCCTGACTTTGCCATTTACCAACTCTTGTGTGTCCCGTGTGCCTCCGCTTCCCCTCAGGACACAGAGATATTGTGAAAGTTATATAAGATAATCCACATAAAACACTTCAAGCAGTGCCTGGTATCTGGCCAGCAAGTGATCAATGGTGATCCATTACCTTCCTGGGCGCCCATCAGGGCCTTCTAAGGTGGAGGGAAGGGCATGCTGGGGGCACAGGTGCAGGCCACAACCAGGTATCTAACCCCATCCCTGCTCCCGCAAAGTAAGGACCAGCATCTAACTCCATCCCTGCTCCCCCCGAAGTAAGGGCCAGCAACGGAGTCCTGGGAGGCTCCTGGGTTTTGAGCAGCAGTGCCTCTGTGGGGTCTGCAGGCTTCGATCTAGGAGGGGCTGGGGGCTGGGCAGGTCCCTGCTCCAGAGAAAGAGGACCTGGGCCTGTGGAGCGCCGCGGTGGGAGTGCTGGAGTCCTGGCCCGTCACCCCCGTCTGCCCCACAGCGAGGACGATGCTGCCACTGTGTACCGTGCAGCTGCGATGCTGAACATGACGGGCTCCGGGTACGTGTGGCTGGTCGGGGAGCGCGAGATCTCGGGGAACGCCCTGCGCTACGCCCCGGACGGTGAGTGCTGGGCCTTGGCGGGGTCCCTGAACGGGGAGGCCCCCACGGGCTCTGAGTCGCATGCTCTCCCCAGGCATCCTCGGGCTGCAGCTCATCAACGGCAAGAACGAGTCAGCCCACATCAGCGACGCCGTGGGCGTGGTGGCCCAGGCCGTGCACGAGCTCCTCGAGAAGGAGAACATCACCGACCCGCCACGGGGCTGCGTGGGCAATACCAACATCTGGAAGACCGGGCCGCTCTTCAAGAGGTGGGCGGGGCCTCTCCCGAGCTGGGCGGGGCTGCTCTTGGGGCGGTGGGCGGGGTCACTCTCCAGAGCTGGGCGGGGCCGTTCTCAGGAATGGGAGAGGTCCCTTGGGGGAGGTGGGCGGGGCCGCTTTTGGGGAGGTGGGCGGGGCCACTTTCCGGAGCTGGGTATGACCGCTCTCAGGACTGGGCGGGGCCGCTCTTAGGGAACTGGGGGAGCGCTCCTCAAGAGATGGATGCGGGCACTCTAGGGGGTGGGGTGGGCAGGGTCGCTTCCAGGAGGTGGACGGCGCTGCTCTCAGGGGTACTGCAGTGGAGCCTGCTGCCAACATCCTCTGTACACTGTTACTTCTCTCCTCTCCCCCCACCCCTCCAGCACCACCACATCTAATGGCACAATCATCTGCCCTCTTCTCAACACTGACACCAGTGCCGGGACTGTCACTGGAGTGGGGACTGGCTCCACTGCTCCCGGCCCTACTTTCCACACTGCAGTTCACCCTGAAACAGCACCCCTCTCCCTGTGGGGCTGGCAGCCTTTGGGAGGAGGCTCTTGATGCAGATGGGGACTGAAAGCTTCCAGGGACCCAGGAGGCCAGACAAGGAGCCCAAGAACAGCACACAAACCTTAGAGAGCCAGGGCTGGCCTAGGTCCAGAGACCCAAATGAACATCTGCAGTGTGGCAGCAGTTAGCTCACAGCACGCCTGGACACCATGCCTTGCCAGCTCACCCCCAGATCCCCAACCATTGAGTAGCATGTGCAGAGCCACCATTCACAATGCCCACGTAAGTGCCGATGTAGGCAGCACGTGTGCACACACATGCACACACATACACAGAACCATGTGTGCACACAGACTCAGGTACATGACACACACGTGACACAGGCACATGCATGGGGTGCACCCCACATAGGGATCACGTGTGCACACAGGTTCACTGATGCGACCCGATGGATACAATGCACACGCGCACACACAGCCAGACAGGACAGTCTGGTGGTTAGAGCCAACTCAGCCTCTCCCCCACTTGCTGGCAAGAGGGCAGGCATCCTTCTGGGCTTCTGCCTCCCTCTCTGTAAGACAGGATGGCTGTGAGGACAACGTCCTAACCCATGGAAAGCCCTTGAAGCAGGGTCTGGCACCCAGAAACCACTCAGCTGTCATGAGTTGCACTGTCCATCTGGTGCAGGCAGACACCACGGTGTCCAGGGGCTGGCATGTGCTGATCTTTCTGTTCTTGGGACTGGGACAAGGGAAAAGCCCGAGCTGCTCAGCAGGCAGGAGAAGGAGCAAGGAGAAGGAGCAGGGAGAAGGAGCAGGGAGAAGGAGCAGGGAGAAGGAGCAGGGGGAAGGAGCAGGGGGAAGGAGTAGGAGAAGGAGCAGGGGGAAGGAGCAGGGGAAGG